TCAGTTAGTTGATCAATTACATCCCATGCGTGCAATTGATAGTAATAAATCCTACAAGAGATAAAATATTTGTTATGTAACTATAGGAAGGAGGAGGGGGAAGGGGGATGCAATGTTTTTGTAACTAGAGGGTGCTGCAATCAGTTATAAATGTTGACATCCTGCGCTGGTTCTAGTATTTTTTTAGGAGGGCAAGTTAAAAATAAAACTTTGTTTTAAATTTGCCCCCCCCCTCTCCTTCGATACTACCACTAGAGACAGGTGTTCCCACTGCTACTCCCTAGTTCTGAACCTGTGGTCATCTCAGTATGAACTATATCATTACTACCTTTCGAAGAGATTATTACTTTATAATATATTTTAAAAATACTATCAAATCTTGTGAATTATCTATGTGTAACACACTCATTCCCTTCAACAAGTCCCAAGAAAGAATGTCACACAATTAGTAAATTGACACAAAATTATTCATTTCTCTTTTATCATACATTTAGCAAATAGGAAAAGAATAAAAACTTGCTCTTTTTAAAAAAATTTAATTCTACTACTGTCACATAAATCTAACACAGGATTTTTTTACAGTCATAAAAATTACTTAAAGTCACAGCCAATCAACCATAATATTTTATGTTAATGAGCTTTACTAAACTATAAATAACATACATTACAACAATCAACATAAAAAAGAAAATGGAATTATTTACTTTTATCCATGTACAAATAAATGTAATTTTGTGCTTTTTAACATAACAGAGAATCTAAAAATACTTGTATTACATTTTAAACTAAATGAGTAGTGATTTAAATTTTCAATAATCTTTGTATGCTTTAGGAAAATAAAACTAATATTCTGGAAATTTCACTTGATCTACATAGAAGCTGAAAGTCTAAAATCAAAGTACAGTTAAATCCAGAGATGCCCATCTTCCCAAGATCAATGGCGCATGAACCTTTTCCCTCTTATCCCCAAGATATTTTATTCCTCTCCTCTTCTTAAAAACATTAGAAATAAAAGTACCGTAAATCATATACAGTTACACTTGCTGAGGTCTGTTCCATGTATTCCCTTTGTCTCTTTATTTGAAACTTTTCAATCGGAAAATGTGTCGGAAACTCCGTCAAAATGTGCTCCCTCAAAAATTGTGATGGCGCAACTTGCGTCATGAAACTCCCTTATGAGCACCCCTGGTTAAATCATACAAGGATCCTATCCCAATGATACTTAAATAATTTAGTTGCAATACTGTTTGACAAAAACATTGTTGCCTCTAATTTTTTAATTTAAAATTTTTTTTATAAAATTATGTATATATTTATCAGATACCTGGGAATATTCATTTAAAAGTCTTTGTATGATTATGTGGTAAAAAGTTGCTTAATATCCAAACTTGCATGGACTTATTGGACTGTTACAATTAAAAAGTGTTAACAGTAAAACCAAATACACAAAAATTATAACAAAATGAATAGTCATTTGTTAATGAAAGGAAGTAAAATAAACTCTATTGTGTGTTAAGTTATTAAAACAAATTCAATCATAATCTTTTGGTTATCAACTTCTTTCTATTTTAAAACAAGCAAAATTAAAAATATATAAATAAAAACTTTTCTTACCTTTTGAATACAAACAAAATTGAATTTTGTGTATAAAAAATAGGAAAATAAAATAAACTTAATCACTATTTTCAGAATTATAACTAACTTTGAGGTAAGTTGCAAGTTTAAACTTGTATGCTTAATATTGTTCCAATATGAAAAACATTTCTTAAAATCAAACGAGTTATTATTATAAGGGCCTAAAATAGTTCAGCCAAACTTAAGAATTTTTTCAAAAGTCTTTTTAATGAGAAACGTTAATTTAAAGATAGTTTTCATTTGAAAATAAAAACGATTTCTCACTATTAAAAATTAAATCATGATTTCTGCAAAATGAACATAAATATGCAAATAGAAATGAGCTTAGTTGTGAAATAATGCAATCAATTATAAAAATTGGGACAAGAGAAAAAAACTTAAAAGAGAAGAAAACATTTTCGACTTATAATGCGCTCAGTTTCATATAAATATAATGGTGTTTTAATGACCTGAATCAATTATAAAAATAAATTAAAATTGGATTTTTTATATAATTCTTTTTCCTCCTATAATTCTTTTTTTTTTTTTTTTTTTAACTAAACACAAGATACCAAGATACGAATTTCTATAAAACTGCATGTGTTTATATTTAGGAAAATTTAATCCAATAATCTTTCATTCTATTTTTTATACAGATTTTAACCTCTATAAAGGTAGAAATGTTTAAATAATACATTAAGCAAAAAAATATTATGTTTTTCTTTAAAGTCAGCATAGTCAATTTAATTCAATATTATAATACATAATACATAATATTATAACATTACTTTCCATTGTTTTATTTATCTATGATAAAACCCAGGCAAAGAGCATAATAAATGAGCTGATAACATTTTTCTGAAACTAAATCATGCTATTTAAACACTAAATCATCATAAGGAAATGATACAAACAAAATATAATACTATAATACAAACATCTGGCCTAAATATTTTCTAATCCACTAAATAATAATTTAGATAACAAACAAAAGCTTTTCAGTTAATAAATAAAATAAAACAAACACAAACTCAATTTATTCTTTATTCCTAAACTTACAGCCTATTACTAAATCAAGCTGTTAAACAGCAGCTTGAAATTAAGATGAATAAAAATGATTATTTTTATACTTATTCTTTCCTGGAAAACTCAAAATTAATCAAGTTCAACAAATTTCAACTTATTAAAATTAATGAACTATAGTAATAAATAAATGTCTATAGTACAGAACACAATGTATCCTGAATGTATCCTAGGGAAAGGAGTTTTCAGTTACAGTCTAAAAAAAATTATTTAAACAAGATCCATTTTTTGCCATCAATTGGTTGCCTGCAAAATCAATCATTGAAAAATATTGTGATTATGTAATTACAAATCTTATTAGAAAGTTTTTTAAGTAGTAAATTTTTTAATAGATTTGTAGCAATGAAGAAACAAAAGAATCTCAATTATTTTTTATGGCAAAAAAATATTTTAACAACAAAACTAAGTTAATATACTTAGTGATCCTTTTAATCATCCAATACTACTTGCCTCCTGACTAATATTTAATTAAATCCAATAAGAATTTGAATAGTTATTCTTTTGAGCAACAGAAAAACTATGTCCAAAAACGAATGAATTTTAAAAATAAAAATTGTAAATTCGTATAAGAGTAATTTCCTGAACGTTAAAAACTAATTTATCTAGTTTGAACATGAAGAAATGGATTTATCTCTGAAAATAAATTTTTTTCTGAGTAGATTTGAAATTAAAGCAACGTAACAAAACGAAAATTGGCTTTTTAGCAATGTAATTAAAACTACAGACAGTTCTTGACATTAAATCTCTTTAATTTCTAATGAGTGCCCACAAAAGGAAAAAATGTCAATAATTCACAATTAAGTGTTACCATTAATATTTAATTGTTGGTAAACATTAGGCATTTTTCTTCTTAGTCAGTAACATCAACGATGTATCTATCTTAATTTTTTAATCACAGAATTTTTCAATTTATGATGGCAGCCAGTATAAGCAAGAAAATTAACATGTTCAAATACATTTTTTACATTTTATAGATGAGCTACAGGTATATCCAAATCGCTGGTTTGTTTGTATATTTTTTTATTTATTGTGTACTGTATAGTTTATACGATATGTAACAGAGTTACATGAAGAGAATATTGTAAAGAGGTGTGCCACCACCTCACAGATTGGTAACGTGCTAATAGGCTCAAGAGAAAGATCCTCATTACTCGATGCGACAGCGATATAGGAGTGCTAATTCTGATTCAGATCACTTGTTAGAGGTGGCTAAATGTTGAGCTAGGACCTTAATTATGAGACAATGTCATGGAAGCAAACCCACGAGGTTCAACTTTACAAACTTAAAGGATGAAGAAATGAGCCTAAGGTATTCAAGTCAGCTTGGACAGAAGCTTAGGGCCATAAACGTTGCAGTCGACATAAACAGAAGGTGGGACTTGTGCAGAGATATCCTGACAACTACAAGGACACATTAGGACTAGAAACAACACATCAAGCCAATAAGTGAATGGTACAGATCAGACGGACAATGTGACTGTAGGAGTATAGGCCACTGAGTTGCCAAGAAACTCATCTGCGAGAAGAATGCGTGGCTTCATATTCCTGAGTCTTACTTGAGTTGAAGTCAATAAAGGGAAAAGGCAGAACTCAAAAGAGAGAACTGGCAATCGACGCTGAAGCAGGACAAGGCCCAACTTGGTTGGTCATAGACCTGATAGAAAAAAAATATTAAAATCATAAATAAATCAAAGGTCGAGAACATGCAACTTCAACAAGATTTTTTTCTTCTATATTTTTACTTCAGTAACATATTGGATTTTCATAAATTTATGGGATAAAAGAGTCTCTTATTTGAATAAGATAAGTAAGCAATCATTATAATTAGTAGGAAATAAAAAAAAAAATCAAATAATATATTATTTTAATAAAGATTTGCCATCTTTGGAAGTAGCAACTACTAATTCAAAATTAAGCAAAGGGACAAAAACAAATTGAATTGATGAGCAAGTTGTCTTCGCAATAAGCAGTTTTTTCCAAGCACTTGAATCATGTAAAAGTGAGGTCATAAGGAGATTGCTTCCATCGACATTGGTCAATTAACTAGTAATTGGTAATGGAGGAGGAACTAGCCTGGCAAGTGGGCCGTTTTGTTAACTCCAGAAGGCTACGCTAACAGGATTGCTGCTTCGCACTAACCAGGGTAGGAGTGTCAAGATTCACTTTTGTGGACTATTGAGTACGACCTACCGCGAAGGGATACCATGGTTTGTTTCATTATCCTCACAAGAAACAATTATTTGCAGGTTCATTTAAATAAAGAAGAGGAAAAAAATGACAGAATATGGCCACTCTGCAAGGATATGGACCACCTCAACCACAAGTGCTTCGCCTTGGCAGGCATAAAGAGGCAAAGTAATTATCGATGTCTTTATAGAAGGAGATTTGTCGGGAGACTACAAGTGTTATGGCTGATGAGCCTCCGTCACTTGGCATGTAATAACAAAATTGAATAGATAAACAGGGCCAGCTAAGATTTATGCTAAACTAATAGAAGCATTGACAATCCTTAACAAACTTGCCTATCATACATAAGTTTTGACCACTGAAGATCAAAATTCTTTAATATTATAATTTAGTGTATGTGGCTTATGATCACTCAATTCCTTTGAAGGAGTTGAAAACTAAGTAAATTAATCACAGCCAAACCTGACAATAGTTCAAAAAAATCAATTATGATTATATAAATGAGTATTCAAAGAGTTTGACCAAACAATGGCATCGTAAATAAAATAATTTCAAATTAATTTAATAGTAAAAAAATAAGACATTTGTAACAAAAAAAATTGAATAATAGATCCCAATATATATATTTCTTTGGTTAAATATTCTAACAGATTAAGACAACCTTTCGAAATTGTTCAGCACTATCAAATATTATCTCATATCATTAATATCACCTCATCAAACACTACATCAGGCCAGGAAAATAAGTTCTTGGTTAAAAAGCTTGATTGTGATTTTACTCAAAATGTTTTAAACTAACAGAAGTTACAGTCAGTAACAAAAGTTTTTGGCTACTCAAAAACTTGACAAATAAAAGGTTGCAATTCTCACTTGTTAGTTTAGTAACTGATAAAACAATTAATAACATTTAGTACTTTAATTCACAAGTTCTTAAACATCATTTAATTTATTTTTCATATAAATAACAATAATTACAGAGCAACAAAATAAAACACATTTAACATAAAAATATCAAAAGTTTTTGCACACTTTCATTAAATATCAATAAGAAATTTGATATAGAACCAGTTTTAGGTCATATAATTCAGTATCTAGAACCATTCTTTGAAGAAACGCTTCTTAAGTTTTTCCTTGTAGCTTATTGGACTCTTCGTGATTTGCGGTCTTAATTAAATTATCCCACAGGTGCACAATGGGGTTTATGTCAGGAGATTGAGGAGGCAGATTAACCTATTTTGGGGAATTGTAAAGGCACCATGTTAGGGCCATTAGACTAGTGTGTTTAAGTTCAATGACTGGCAGAAATAGAACTTACCCTTCAGTGTTAAGCAGCCCCCACTTCGTATTAAATTTCTTTTCATAACGTCACAATACATTAAATTACTGCATCCATTTTTTCATCAATGAAAGCCAATTCACCAACTCCTGCGGCCACCATACACTTCCACACCAAAAGAGCCTCTCTAAGTTACACCATAGGTTGAATATTTTTTTTATTTTTAGAGCTATTATTAGGAAGATGTCATATTTAGTAACAAAACTAAAATTAAACTATTTGCAACACACAGGCAGGGAAAAAATGAAGCTCTAAAAATATACAGTACAGTGAAAAATTAAATTAAATTATGTAATAGAACTTATAAATGACAGTACTAAATGATATTACTAGTTTTATTGGTTACAAACCCGTGAAGTAAGAATTTCAACCTTCTATTTGTTAAGTTCAAAATTGTCCAAAAACTCTTGTCACTGACTTACTTTTTTTTTTTTTAATTTAAGGAAATAATGCTTAAAATTCCAACTAATACATTTAATATATTTTTTAAGATAAAATGCTCTAGCCAACCAAAGATATTACTATTAGAATTTGGTGATTGAATCAAATTTCACAATTTCGATAGTTGAAGCAAAATGTTAACTTTTAAAATAAAGAAATATTTAAATTTTGCCTATTCTTTTGGATTTAAGCTTTCTGCTTACCTGTTACGAGTGTTAACATTTTACATTTACAATAATGTTCTTTTCTATCAAAAAACAATGATATATCAATAAAATCCGAATTTATCAGCTTGAAAGGTATTGATATCAGTCTTAAATTACAGAAACTCTTCAAGTAAAATGTTTTACCATAACTTTTAGTTTTAAGTAGGATCTCAAAACTGAAATTTCCCAATTTTTGGATTTTCACATTCCTGGGGGGAGGAGACATGAGGTGATTTATCAAATTATCTCACCCTTCAGGTGGTTCTTTGAATCACTGTGTGTAAAGATTAAAATTAACAAGGCTGGAGAGAAAAAAACCTTCAAATTGCTTCAAAGATGGTGGGCAAGGACTCACTACTTCTGTGAGTCAAGTTTAGAAAAGATTTAACAGCTAAAAGTATCATAAAATACTACAGCTAAATTTTACAGTTTAAGTCACGTTGCAAGATTGGTAAATAGGATTGACAGAACAAAATCATCATTAAAAAAAGAAAAAGTGTATAAAATAAAACAATACTCAGGAATATCTCGAGTCAAATATTTTTGTTGTTAATAAATGGCTCCTGGCTAATATTCTGTGAAATTTAGGAGATTAGGAATCTATTTTTAAGTTCAGAATTAAAAATTAATCAATTGGTTCAGAATTAAGAAAAACTTTTGTACATAAAGCAGTAACACAGTATAACTAAAAACTTTTACGGCATTAAAAATTAAACAAGGATAAGAAAAGGTAGCCAAGATTACCGCATACCGAACATATCTATATTATGAAAATAATATCTATATCAAAAAATACAATTAAAATTAAGTACACTTTCGTTCAAAATTATATCAGTCTTGAGGTAGCCCTATCCTCTTCCCGGTTACCTTGTAATAAAAAATAAAGAGATTTGGCCGGGTAACTATCCATCAATTAATAATAAAGCGTGAGCAATCAAGACCGAATGGTGATTAATATGGGAGGCAGTGAGGGGAGGGATCATCAATTTAGACTACATATAAGATAACTAGATGCCAATGCTTAGGTCCACTTTGCAGGCAAGAGGCAAGAAGGGAACAGGCCTGGCGATGACGAGAGGATGAGGGCTCAACTGACGGCGGTCATCGTTACAAGGCTTGTTCACTTCTCTCAAGGAGGCCTGCAAAGTGGCCGACACCTAAGCGCTCACTGATGTTCCATATTATAACTTGAAAGTTTTGACCATCACCTAAGGCCAATTTTTTCTAGATAAATTTCATTTATAATTGTTAAATTATCAAATAATGAATATAAAACTAAACTTTTATATATTTTTTAGCAAAAAATAATATATCTATTTTTAAAACACAATAATTGTTGTCTCAAATGCTTGGCCTCTATCATAGATATGAAATTTGCTAAAAAAATACGAATAATAAAACGAGCCTTAGGATATATACTTAGGAAATGAATTGAAGACTTAATCTAAACTCAATTGAACTACACCATTACTACAAGTTATAAAAAATATTTTTTACTTAATGCCCAACGTGAGGAATATAAAACAAATGACTATTTATGAAGAGAAGGTAACTGGCACTCCTTCTCTCCACCCGTGAACCCTGAATAATAAAATATGTGGGCGAAGATCTTCCACAATAATACAATTATCTTACAAAATGTTACTACAAATGTACCAATGAAAATAGATGAGCGATACAATTACAATGAACTACACACCTCGTACAAGAGACTGGATTTTCATGCATAAAATATCCTAAATTATGGAATTAAACAGCTGAAAGCAATTCTATCATTTAAATAAGTGTAAAACTTTTAATAATGATAAAAAAAGTTTGAATATTTCAGTCAGCGCTAATATATTATAGCGCTAATACTGTGAGCACAAAAATTCAGATTCTAGACAAACACAAAATACAAAAATAGTCTTGAAAATTGATTCTTTTTTATAATATATTGCTCAGCTTATCAAGAAAAAAGGGAAAATTAAGTGTTGTTTTTTTGTCATTAATAATAATGATTTAAATTCAAATTTTTTTATTAATATAGGAAGGATGGATTAAATAGTTTATTTTTCCTCTTCAAAATAGAACGGAATATGGGACAAGACAATGTGATAACCAAATGAAGGGAATTGGGAGTTTTAGTGTAAAATTAGCAGATGAACTACAATAAAATATTTTAAAAATATAATTATTAAAAAACAAACTATTATGAAATAAAAATAAAGATACATGAAAAATAAAACGTGTCGTTGATTTATTGTGAAAAGCTATTAAGTAAAAGTTTATAAAATTAAATCACTAAGTAATTTGATGAATTTTCCTTTTGAAATAAAAAAACTGTGCACTTGGTACAACCATTTTTGGAATATAACAGAATTTACGTTATTGAGATTCAGATGAGGTTTGATAAATAAGTTAAAATATAAAAATCTCGCTCTATCAAACACACATAGAGATTTTTTGCAATAAACTTAAAATATACTGAAATGAGACAGAAAGCAAAGCAGATAATGATACTAAGTGTATTAAGTATATCGTTGGTTTATTGCAAAAATTCAGTAACATTTCACAAAATTAAATAAGTACTTAGATGAAATTTTCCTCAGTAAAATAAGAATAATGTGCACGTAGTTCACCAATTTAATATAATATAATGGTGTTGGTGTAATTATGATGCACTTAAAAATAAGATTGAAATTAACAACGATTGTACTTAATAAGAGACTCAATTTACTATATAATTTAAATATTATAAACTAATGTATTTCATACTTTATATTAAATTATATTTGTTAGTTCTTAATTAGATTCCTGTTTAAAAGTTGGCTTTAATTAGCAAAAATTTTCACTTAAATATAAATATTTAAAAAATATATATATATAAAAAAACAATGAAAACAAAATGGTGGTACCTGAAAACTGATCTAGAGGTGCAACGAAACCTATTTTAACAACAGCGGGAAAGTTAAGATTCATTACGTGGGGTCTGCCACAAAATAAATTTCAACCCGTCGCAAGGCTTGAGATTATTAAAGTATAAACTTTGAACACCCTTGGCCATCACCCTTTTTTTCTATTTACCACCTAACTTCTCTGATGGACTCTTCCTTCTTCAGTCCAAATATTCTACACAATGTTTTATTTTCATAAACGTTATAAGATGCTAATCATTTGTTAAAGTAAGCAGCCATGTTTTGTATCTTTAAAGAACTGTAGGGTGGATAATGTTAATTCTAATTTTTAAGTTTCGGGACTGAAGTTTTTGTGTAGCAAAACAATAATTTTGCTACACAAAAATAAGAAGGTTTCCTGGTCTTCAATCTTCCCTTAATTTTCTCTTCAATTGTAAACTCCTTACTAGCTTAAAAATCATATTTTCTGTTAAAAACTGATTTAGTAAAAAAAGTATATAAGTTGACTTAAATTGACCATGTGTTATGAAGGATTAAATACTTAAACCAACATTTAAAGAAAACTTGAAAATTAAATAAGGAACTGCATAAAATCCAGTCTCTATTGATAACTAATCAAGTTCACTTATCATACTAATACCAAGTAGGAAAAAAATAATTATCGGAAATAATTTCATCAGTCTTGAATTTTCTACCTACCATTGTAGAAAAATAATAATTATGAATAAAGTATAATGCAAGAGGACAAATATCTTCAGAAGAAAATATGAACCAACAAGAATCGAAGGTAGGATCGAAGGAAGTATGTCGTTGAGAGCTAACCCCAACCCCTTACAGCCTTAGTAACATCGACAGGTCACAACAAAACAAAAAATAAATAAATAAACAATAGTTTAAATAACCAAACAGTAACAACTGTAATGATAATAATGATAACAAATATAAAATTAATGATAAAAAATAATTAGAAAAGGAAAACAAAATAAAAGTCTATAGAATTAAAAACTATATTTATAATTTATACAATTACTTTATTACAAAATTTAACTTGAATATGTAACTGTAACTATTATCGAATGAAACAATCTGATTTACATGCAGGTAAAATAAAAAATATAACAAAAAGAAACCAAAATTTTAACGAAAAAGAAATAATCACTTTGGCTGTAAGCAAGAAGAACAATTACACAATTTACCAAATTTCCACCTAGTGACATTATTTTTCAAGAGGCACATGAAAAGACTCTGATTTAAAAACTAATACAAGATTATTTACATATGACTACAGATAAAAATTGATCACGACCAATTGTAAATGTAAGCGGCATTTTCCAAACTAGATCATTTACACTTTCTTTTTATAAAGACATTTATAATTTTTATATATAATATCAATATAATAAACAACTCAAAATTTCCTAAACACTGTATTTTTTATCTTTCAAGCTCTTGGACTTTTTTTTTGTATTTTTTTTTTATATTTTTATAATATATATGTATATATATATAGATATAGATATACTTTTTTTTTTTTTTTCTTGAGCACTCTAAGAGTGCAATGTCATATGGACACTTAGATTTTTCAAACTACGCTTGGTCGACCAACATTGACAAGATAACATTCCAGGTTACGAACACACACATTTAGCTAAGTTAGTTTTCAAGCCAAGCGCACAGTTTGTACTGTTCTCTCCCGATGTGGAAGTGTTCAGTACTTTCAACAGAAATGAAAGAAAAAAAAAAAAAAATAGCAATTTACAATAACTACAGTTAAACAAATGTAAGGGTTGCACTTTTCAGATCATTTTAAATCTTTCTTATATATGCTCTGGTTGATGACTTCTGCTTAAATAAAATTACTTAAACAGCAAAATTTCAGATTAACCATTTTTTAGAAGAGTACAACCCTTCAATTTTTCATACAGGTAGGCAAATTTGTTAAATAAAAAACACCAACTTTTCTAAAACAAATGTTTCAAAACAGTGGTATAATGTTCTTTATAAAGAAAAAAAAAAGAAGGCAAAAATGAACATTTGTCAAATAATGTATACAAAAAATAAACTTAAAAATCAAGATAGAGTATGCCTGAGTGAAAATAATGGATTTAACCAATTTACTAGTTGAGAAGAGATAAATTTGGCCCCCGTGAACAAATGATTTTAAAATAAATGAGTTGATATAAAGAGGCTACTTGCTCTTCCCCCCGCCCTTCCCTCGGCCCGCTGCGGTTCCTGTCGCAATATATGCCCAGTTCTATAGACGTTTGACCTTCTCTTCAGACATTGTACATGGCCGACATCCTCTCTTGAAGCTGAGCTGGAAACTGGTCGACAAACCTCTTCCAATTCTCGTCCCCAACTTGATTCTTGAATCCATGCAAGATCTTGGAGAACATTTCCTTCAAATCTTCTTTCGGAGCTGCCCAGGATGCAACTGCATCACAAAAGAATATGAAATCTTGCACAATACCTCCAGGATTTACAGCAATCATCTGGCACATACCTCGAAATGCAGAATCTTTTTCTTCATTATCTCTAATATTTCTGAGGGATGTGCACCACTGCCGTACAAACTGTTGTAGCATTGGGGCGACTTCATGTGGGCAAACATACCCTAACCGCCCAATTGTTATAGCAGTATTTTCCAACAGAGTTTTAGGAGCATTAGTTTTGTTAATTATAACCATCAGCTGGTTAAGGACTAATGGTATGTATGGGCGCATTTCTTCTCCCTCAAGCTTAATTGAAATCTCACCAATTGCCCAAGTTGCATTATTACAGACTGAAATCAACTCAGGATTGAGATTTTGACCAAGGATTGGGAGAAAGTCGGAAATACAGGGGTGAACATGCTGAAAACATGCTTTGGTTAAATCTCCTAGAAGAGCAAAACTGCTCTGCCTCACTTCAGGCATCGGGTCTTGCATACACTGGTATAAAAGCTGCATCATGTTAGAGTTGCTTACCAATTTTTCTATATGTCCATTTAATCCTTCAGCCAAACCCGAAAGAAGATCTAAGGAGACAATCATGAAGTCTTTATCAGGAGCATCAAACTCATTAGGGTTTTGGGTGTTAGCAATATGTTGATTTAGTGTTTGTTCAACTAGCGAAACACATCTTTTATAAACGGGTTCACAGTAAGGGAGGAACCCGCTTTGGAGGGCTGTCGCGACGCTAGACAAACACTCTAACAGAGGGAATAAATCTTTGTCTTCATCTTTTAGAATGTTCCACTTTTCAATAAGGGGTGGCATGAGAAGGTTAATATAATCAGGTTTATTTAAATGATGCCCAACAGAGTCAGCCAGAGTTCCAACGGCATCATAGAGGATCAACAAATTTTTATGCTGGTATTTACTAAATGCAAAAACTAATGTTTCTAATATATAACCAAGATAAGGAACTAGTTCAGTACATGCTTCTTCCTCTAAGGTGGCAAAAGCAGAGCAAGCAGCTTCCTGTACTCTTTTGTTAGGGTCTAACACACACTTTAACAATTCAGTCATCAAAGGTTTTAAATAATTATCATGAGGCTGTGAAACTACCCAATGGGCATATCGAGATAAAGTCCAGCAGGTGATAGCCCTTACAAGTGCTTTCTTATCGGAGAGGCAACTGATTAAATACGGAATTAGTTCGCTCAGGTGAGGTATCATTCCACTCATACAACCTTCAGCTATAGCACCCAGAGCCAGAATACCAGACTCTTTCACGTCCCATTCCTGATGAAACAAGGTTTCTTTCAATATTGGAACTAAAACAGGTAAAAGATCATCTCGAAAAATGTTGGCTAGAACATCCAATGCAGCAGCACTACATTTTCTTAAATTCCAATCTGATTGAGATGAATCATCATCCAAACAATCATCATCATCATCAGTATGATCACTGCCTCCTCCATTGTCTGGAGGGTGTTGCTTGATGGTGTGCGTTTTAGACCTATGAAACCTAGGCCTGATATCTTCTTCTTTATCAGGGATCATTTCATCTTCTTCAATATCACCTTTCAAGAGTATGATGTCGATTTCTGAATATTTCATTCCATTGACTAATATAGGAACTAATGTAGCTAGATGTGGGCTAAGCACTTCACGACAAATCTGTTGATCAGCCAAAGATAGCCAAAATTCACAGGCTTCCAAAGCCACACTATCATCACCGTCTCGAGTTCTTGTCAACATGTATTCAATTATGTTGTGCAGATGTGGAATAAGCCTATCAATTCGAACTTCTAATAACATAACTAGTGCTTTACAAACATTTTTACGAACTTCAGGCTCATTATCATTAGCTAGGCTGAAGAGCCCTTCAATGAAGGAATCTATATGCAACATAAGTGATTGAGTTCGTTTAATTATAAAAGGATTGACACAAGCTACAGCATGGGATCTAATTTTGGAACTGGAATGTCCAAAAAATTGAATAAATTTCGGAATCAAAATGTTCAAAGGTCGATTAAGAGCATCACTATCCAAAAGTTCAGTAGAATCTTCACATATCTTTTGCAAAGCTCCAAAAGCACCTTCACAGACATTGTAATCTTGAGAGTCCAACATACTACACAGGGCTGGAAGTAATTCTGGCCATGTTGTCAATTCTCCTTTAGAAGCAATCGTTGTTATAATTATACCAACAGTAGCCCTGATAAGTGGAGAAGGATCACCCACATCAGTCAAACAAGCTTCCTTAACAAAGTTGAGAACTTCGGGTCTAATTCTACTATAGTTTGTTTTAACATTGTTCTTCAATATTAAACCACTTAGAGATCTAGTGGGTTCATCTTCGGTAGTGACCTTTGTCAAGACAAAAATAAGGTAGTTATTGAAATCAGGATATTTGTTCAATTCCTCCAGCTTATGCTGAACCGCAATCTGAGTAGCTGTATCAGGTGATTGAGACTCTTTAAGAAGCAAAAGAATTTGCCTGAGTCCTTCTTCTTGGGGTTGCCAAGCCATTTTCATGACTGCAGTATCTACTTTAACTTCAATGCAAAACAGATAGAAAGTTCACAAAACCAATTCACACACCTTATTAATGAGTTTCCAAATAGTAACTACTATATCAACTCATCATTATAAGTCAAACAGTAAAACCTAAACAACATAGTAACAAAGTTAGGTTATGAAAGTTGCCGCCTAGGTAAAAAGTCAAAAATTTCAATAAGTACTTTCGTGTTTATCCTATAAGCAAAAACAATCAAACATAAAAATAGGATTAGTTCATTGTCTTCCATGTTCGATAGTTTTCCATGTAAAACCCAAACAACCGTCCTCTTCCCGAGTCTCTTGGAGGTGCACTGTCATACACCTAATAAAAAAAAACGAAAATTTCCATACAAACAAACACAAGGATAAAAAAAATCAACAAAAATGTAAAGAAAAACGGCACTCCATACCTTTTTTAAGTTCCTGGAGAGTTAAAAACAGTTTTATAGGCGATTTTACACGTGTTTAAAATCTGAGGCCTGGTGCTGCCGCTCTTGGCTAAGTTCACAATCTCAGCTTGGCTGTAGTAGGTTCACTCACTGTTACATTCGGCAACAATGGCCTTTAATTTAACCAAATATGCAGTTGGAATAATTGGAAAATTCAAATCTACTTCTCTCGCAAATAGCTACATATTTTCACCCAATACACAAAACATACCGAGGTAATTTAATTTGTATCGGCTACTATTTTTACTGCTCTGGCGTTTATCTATGATTGTGTATTATTTTTTGAATTGCCAGTCACTGATTACTGATAAAATTCTATTCAAGTTCTTCAGGAAAATGTTTCTCTTCCCAAGTGACGAAAAATTTAATGGAATTTTTCGATTCAGAAGAAAACTGGACAAAAGGTGAAGTGAAAGTTGGAAGATCTTGGAAAAAAGAAGAATTAAGAATTAAAAGTAATGAAGATCTTCATAAACTTTGGTACCAATAAATTTAATAATATCAATAGTTTTATGAACTGTCTTTGATTTCATTTAAAACATTATGATAATGAGGTAATTTTTTAAGTTGATTTAAACTTTTGTGATAAAATGATAATTTTGTAACAACCTTCTCTTATCAGGTTGTGATACAACTCAAAACGAATTATAGGAATAGTATTTATTAAAGTCATTATACATTGAATATTGTCTGGCTTGATGTGAAATTAATTGTTTACAAAAGATTTTTTTTGGGTTATGTTCTTTGTACCTAAATTTAAGAGTGATTAACCATTAATCTTTTCTATTGGATAGTATATCTATTGCTAGTAATTACTGGTTCAAAAAACATGTTGATGTTGGAAGTTAGATTTTGAAAACTTATGGGAGTTTGCTATAAAGCTGGAATTTATCAGTAATGTTATTTCATTTTGAAACCGTCACTGTTCCTCATTTTAGTTCAATTCAACCGATTTTTACTTCTTTATTATATTATTACCATAGCTATATTTCGTATATTAATGTAAATTATTTTGCTCTATTATTAATTCATTTAGGTCCATTCATTGTAATTTTATTATTTTTTTATTTGTAGGTACGTTTTACTAAAGGAAAAAAACATGTTGCTCACTATGGAACATGAATACAAACAGTGTTATGAATCCTTCCCTTCTCCTGAAAGAATTGACAAGGTATTTACATTTTTACGTACTCAATTGACTTATCATCTTCATCAGTATTACAGTCAATAATCAGTAGACACTTTACTGTATTAATCTTTATAATCTTTTAATAAACCAGTGCAAAGGTTATTTGGCCATTGATCTGCTTTTGTAATTTTTGAAATTGGATCACAAAAAAAATTCAATTGCAGTACTAATACTTCATTACATCTGAATATGATCTTTTATTTCCAAGCTGTAATGTCTTGATTGCCCCTCTTTAAAATCCTCAGAATATTTAGGGCAGATATATTTATTAAATAAAAACTGAATATTATAAATATTTTCTTCGTAATTGCAAAGAATATTTATGAATTAACATGGGATGGCAACAGTTAGCGGCTCACCGATTTCAACTAGATTTTTTTAGTTTCACTTACCTATATAGTAAGACTAAGTATTTTTTGTGACAATACCTGATTTTTGTGACAAAAATCTGAGTTTTCACATAAATACATGTTTTGAGGTCCCCTGTGTCCAAATAACCAAGTCCCTCAAAATGTTCTGTTTGTATGTATGTGAACAGCATAGTTCAAAAACAAAAAGTCGTACAAACTAAAATTGGGTATTTAAGATTAGTATATGCCCGGGATGTTACAGAAACTTTTTCAGTTATATTACATCAAAAAATATTCAACATCTGTCCCGGCGTTCATTCCAATGGGCTCTAGTAGCCAAGAAAAAATTATTTTATTTGAGGCTATTGTTTATATACATTTTTATTTTATATCTTAGGTTCTAATTTGTTTACAGATGTCAGTTTTGTAACATTTCATGAAGCGTAAAGTGTGTCGATCGGTGGAGCCGTTTTAAAGTTGTCACAATTTTTGTTGTCAACAGAATTTCTAAAGGTCAAGGCTAGACAAATATTTAGTGCAGAAAATTTTAATTTTTCTATTTCTATAATAATTCATAATGATGTAGAGATGGTTGACCATGATATAATATGAGGAGTTGATCGGGGAGAGGAGGGAGGATGTGGTCAAATAAATACTAAATTATACAAATACAAATTATTAAATAATACTATTTGTATAATTTAGTATTTATTTGACTGCACCCCCTGATCAACTCTTTCTCATATAATAATTCATGTTTAAGGGTTTTTAAGGTGAAAAAAATGAATATTGACTTAGTTTCTCCCTAAAAAAAATATTTACTCTCGATACCGGACTGATTTTGAATAAATATGTTATCATATTTTCGGCAATGAAAACTTGCAGATATACAAACAGTTGGTTTATTTCTTGATTTACGTGTCAAGTTGACGTCTCGGGAAAATTATTCCCATCTTCAAAACTTAAAATCCCAGATTTTCATAGCGATTTATGGCTAAAGTTTGATTTGCTCCTTTGTCATTATTTGAAATTTATGTTATAAATAAAATAAAGTTATACTATCTAGAGCATCAACATTTCTAGACGACCTATCTATGACAGGAAAATCTCATAATTCCATTTTACTAAACTTTATAATGGAAAATAAGAGTTTAATAACTAATAGTCGTACAATCCATATTCAACTGTTGATATGGTAAATAGGATTTTTGTTATTTTAATGGTATCAATGATTTTATAGCTGTAAGCTTTAGCTCTGTTAAATATACACTTCAAAAATTTTATAATAGCTCAATATTGCCAGAAAATAATTCTTATTCAAAGTAGAGCGGTAAGTAAAAGTTGTGTATCGCACCATATTTTTCAATATGGCATCACCGATAAAAAAATTGGTGACCCGGTAATTGTAGCCTCTCCTTGATATGAGAAGGGATCCAAAGCCAACCTTATAGTTAACCAATATAGTATAGTTCAAAAATAAAGTTCTAACATATAGCTAATAAATAAAATTAAAATGTAGCTAATAAATAAAGCATATTTTATGACATTTTAGAAAGTGATTTTGTTTTCACCATTGCTGCATCAGGAAATATGGAAATATCTATTAAGAAAAAAGACTCAATTTTTCAAATTCTCCCTCTTTTACAGAAACAATTTTTGAACTTTTATGTTTTTCTTATGAATGAAAGTGGTATGCTCTTTAAGAATCCAAAATTCTAGGTAAATGTTTATCAATGCGTTAGACCATGTCTTATAAAAGTTACATGATAAAAAACTTTGTCATTTTCCGTAAATGACATATTTAATTTTAACCTATCAGCTTCATCCACTCATGGCTTCAGATATCACTATCCATATTGATTCAAATATAGCTGATACTTACCAAAGTAAGTTTTTTTATTGCTCTATTTGTTTTTCTAAATTTTAATTTTGTTTTGTTTTTATTCAACAAAAGGCTGAACCATGCACCACCTTCGCTAGGGTCCGCCCCTTCCCAAACTTTAAAGGAACAATATTTTTCTGACTATTGGGAACAAATTCAAGACTTACTTATGTCCAAGTCCTATTTGTTTAATGGACATATTTGTGGAAATGGAAATTTTTTATTACTAAAGTACTTATATCAATGAAAAATCAAGTTAAGCTTCCCAAAGAGGTACACATTTAAGCATATATTGGCAAATTCAGTAGGACTAAATGGTTTTAAAATGAGACAAAAGAATTTAGATAAAATGAGACTTACCAAATATTAATTATGCTTCTATCCCTAAAAATCAGTTTAATATTTATTTTTATTTTTATTTTCAAGGTAAAAGAAAGCATGTTTAACCTTGAAGATGTTGTACGGGAAAGGAACAAAGCGTATTGGCTCCTGGAAACTGGGCAAACTGGTGAGAGACCAGGAAAAGTAGTTAATAACCAGCTAGGTATGAACAATATATTTATAAAATAGAACATTTTATTTCTATGATTTATTATTAAAGTGATTATTTATAATGTTATAATGTATCCTCTAAAGGTAATAGCTATTTGACAGAACAGTCTATCATATCAAATAGATTTCTCTGAGGCTTACAAATATATGAATGATTTCTATTTATTTTGTTTGAACTTGAAAATGTCCATTTACAGGAGTGATGTTCATTACTCAAATGCATACCTTATGTTTAGATGTTTACATCTAAATGTATTATGAAAGCATGATTAAAATTTGTACTTTCAATATTTTTTTTTTTAAAGCGGCATGAAGGGCCTATTGTACGCCTCTATTAAAGTCACTCCTATTTAGAACGTGATTCCTGCAGTCTCAGTGAACTGTAATAAGCTTGTTGGATTGAAGAGCTTGTTTGCCTTGGGATCAATCACCCTATCAATGCCGAATAGTCGGAATCTCAGTCCAGCAAACCTGTCGCACCAACAAGTCATCTCACAAGCCGCTGGCCACAGTACATACAGAGAGACCACTCCGTTAGCCGCAGATCGCTTTACAGTATCCAGTATATACCGCTGTCATTTTCTTAAGATTTATCTTACTTTAATAGGTTAAGAATAGATAAAGACTATACTAACTCAACGAGAACTATTGTAATGTATATTTTAACAATATATCACTACGTAACATCTGTTGTAATTAATAACAAGTTGACTAATCCTACAACTTCAAACGTGAGCCAAACAGAACAGAATGCAAAAGAAGAAAAAATCCTGCTCCTGGAAGTTGATTCATTTCACATTAATTATTAAAAAAATAAATGCATACATATTTTAATGTAGTACATCAAGGTACTATTTTCCTGGTACCAGTGCAGTTGAGCACTGCTTTAGTGGTGTAGAAAAGAGCTTATTTCGTTAGCACTGCGTGGCCATCTGGTCTATGACGTTATATCTACATCTGCTTCTGAGGCAGTGAAACGGTTGGCATCACAGCGGTTATAGGTTATGTTATCATATAGGAGGCACTGTGCTACCTTCAATTTCCTTCTTCTTTTTTGCACATAGTCAGACAAAATTAAATAAAAAATTAATTGTGAATTGATGGTTGGAGTGATCAGTGAAAATAAAAAATAGTAAAAATAAATAATTATATTTATTTTTGCCGACATTTCGGTCTGAAGTTCAGGCCTTCATCAGGGCTAAGAAAAAAACAGTTAACAATAGGTGTGAGAAACAATCAACATTGAATAATAAACAATTAAAATTAAAAAGGTGTTCTATACCTTATAATATAGACTAAAAAATGTAGGTAGAATAAATTTAAAGTAAAATAAAGTAGGTAGAATAATAACAGTAACAGAGAACTAAGAAATAAATAATAACGGCAACAAAGCACGGACCAATGAAATAAACATAATCAAAATAAGGTAACATAAGAAATGAAAAATGGTAATCTTAGAATAAAATGTAAGACAGAGAAAGGGAAAATTAAGTTATATAAGGAAATAATAGATATAAATAGAAAATTGAGATTTTGTAAAATCTATAAAAATATATTGACTACGTATAAGAGAATAAAAAGTTGAAATAATGTGAAAATAGAGTGATGGGAAAGTTGATTGGCAAAGCATTATTTGATCATTTTTGTAGGATTAAAGTAACAAGAGTATTTTATATACCAATTGAATCAACTAATTAATGCTCAAATCCAAACATTGAAAAGCATATTTTATCGCTTTCCAAGCATTTTAAGAATATTCTCTTTTTTAACTAAAGCACTAATTTCCTAATTATCTAATGATAAATCATCATTCGATGTGATTTCTTCACAAATATATCGTCGATATATTGCAAAAAGTCACTAAGTGCATTTTTTATGAAGGTAAATTTTTGTCGAAATAAACACGCTATAATGTCTGCCAAGGTCAGTACACCTTCTCACCGTTTTCATTAGCTAAAAAATATCTATACTACAAAATTAACATTTTTCATATAAGAATAAAATTTCTGGAAGAAACCGTTTTGGAAACGCAAGTAAAAATTTTCGATTCTGAGCACAAATTTTTTTTTTTAACATCTCGCACAAATACAAAGCTTCTCTATCTTCGGTAGTGAGGAAGCAAAATTACAAAACACAAACCATTTGTTTATCAAACATAGTTACACCAAGTGCACAATGTTTTGAATTTACAGAAGGGGAGAGGGAGAAAATTGGGAAGTACTTAGTGGTTTAATTTTATGAAATACTTGATAACTTTTTACAATAAATCGACTATATGATATATATTACTTAAATGATCTTACTAATAATGATTAATAAATTCAAAATCAAAGACCACTACAATAAACCATCAATACTTAAAATATTCCGAGAATCAATCACTTTGTAGATGGTGGGCAGGCTGGTTATATTAATACTTTATAGTACTGATATAACCTAACCTCATAATTCAACTGCCATGGTGAGCAGTTAAAGCATAAACTGTTGGCAGCCAGGAATGCTGGGCGCTGCTGTGGGCAGTACCAATGAAATACTACCTTTAATTTATTACATAATTTTTTGTACGTTTAGTGTTATTTTCTTTAATATTTCTCATATTGTGAAAATATAATTAAATACGTATATTAATATTTAGCTTTTCATTTTAGATGAAAATCTTTTCTTATTGCATTGCATTACAGCATTTTATTTATAATTTTTAGGTCTCCGCTACTTTTATAAGATGAATGAGCACATAATCCCTAAAGCTAGCAACAATAAGTGGTGGAAGAACCGCAAGTTTGGGTTCAACAATAAAGAATGCGATAGGTTCCTGTCTTTTTACAGGGAAAAGATATTTCTAGAAAAGAGGAAAGCCAGGAAGTGAGTCCCAATTTTTATCTTATCATAAGTTAAAAATTATATTATCTCTTTTATCACTTGATTCATGTCAAGATTGTTCAATATTTGAAATGTCAAGCTGTTTGTACCATTCAATCAATCTGTTTATTATGTATTTTATATTAATGCTCATTCTCTTAATTATAAATAGCCCTAATTTGTAACATAATATTTTTTATCAGTTTTAAAACCATTCTAAACTGTTTTATTATAAAAAGTATTTTATAAGTTTGTAAAAAGCTTTGTAACAATGTTTTGAATGAAACGCTGGATCAATGTTTAAGTTTGATGGCTCAAATTATTCAGTGAAATCTCCTGTATGCTTTGAAAGAATTTGAGCTAAAAATACTGAACTCTGATTAAATAAATTGTGCTTAATCAATTTGCTAAATGATATGTAATGGTTTTTCGAGCAAATAGCTGGATAGATTTTTAAGATAGATATATCAGGTGAGATCCCGTGAGTGTTTAGCAAGCCAAACGACACGAAGATCGTGTGTTAGGGCTGTCGCTAAAAGGTATGTAACAATGTTTTGAGCGAACGGCTTAATCGATTTTTAAGTTTGATGTCTTTAATTATTCGGTGACATCCCGTGAGTTATTTTGAAACAATTTGAGTTAAAAACTGACTCGTGATTGAATAAAATGTGTTTAATCGATTTGCTAAGAGGTATGTAACGATTTTCTGAGCGTACGTCCGGAACGATTTTTATATTTGATAATTTGGTGAGAGCCCGTCAATGCTTTGAAAGAATTTTAGTTCAAAATTCTGGCAAAGTACTGTGTCGGATGTTGACGTGCATTGATACATGGGACAAAATCTATTTTCCTAGAGCCTTAACTTGAAGTAGAAAATGTACCCAACATTTTGTCACCAATCATTATAACATGATGTTATAATTACACCAAGTATAAATATTCGTGGATGTCAATTTCCTAATCAATCTACTGAGATGTTTCACTATTTATGGAAGTGGGTACCATTCTCTTAGAGTGGGTAGAATTTCACAATTTCCGTAGTTGCTTTTTTTTTTTAATTCAAATATTTTTTTATTACTTTGATTTAAAGCATTGACTAATTAACAATTATCTGTTTGCAGTCGAGACAAGAACCACGTTCTCGGATTGCTGAAGAGGTTCCCAGATATGGACATTAACGTCCTTAAGGAACAGTACCCTCATTTGAACATCGATGGATTGAGAATGAGCAGGAAGTCTGATCCTCATTTAGTTCCCAGTTAATGTTATTGATTATTTCATTGTGTACATTTAATCTTATGTATTTTTAAGTTGTTATATTCTAGAAACTATTTTGATTGTACGTTTCTATATAAATATATTTATGTTAGAACGAAAAAAAACTGATTCACCAGAATAAAATATGATTTTTTTTTTTACTGATATGTACTTTATTTAGCCCGTTTGCACGACAAACAGCTCTTTTGGAAAAAGATCGCAGTTCCCAGAGGAGAAAAGAATATGACATAATTTAATTGATGGGATTTCATCATTGGCACAATGTAAAGTAACAAATATTAACCTGCCCATTTCAAATTTGTTACTTTAACTTGGTGCGACAATATCACACTTCTATTTTCAAATTATTAAATTTCATGGATGAAGATACGTAATGCTTTACCAGAATGTACTTTCATTTGTTTATTTTTCTCTTGGTTTATTGAAACAGAAACAGTTTAAAGGGACAAGTAAGGTTGTTAATGGACGAATGGTTGGGTCCCTTATAACACCTTAATGAAATATTTTCCTCAAGAGTAGCAATGGTTCTGTAATCCAATCACTTCAAAAGACTTTTGTAATATAAAATAATATATGGTTATTTTTTCTATATTTATGTTCATTTAGAGGCGAGTTATAATTGTCTTTTATAAATTTAAAAAAAATAACTTCAAGTTGTTTAATAAGTAAGAAGTTCTCTCGCCTCCCCTCTGCCCCTAAGTTGCTTTGTGTGCTCTCATTCCTTTTGATATGCAAAACCTTCAACTCATAACTGATTCCTTCTAAGTTTGTTTATGTGAGTCAACGGCCCAGCTGATAGAGGAAAAGTCATAAAATGCAAAACTGAAATTACCTAGTTAAGTAAGGCATCACCTGCGGTAACAGCAACTTTTTCACAAGCATTGATGTACCAGGTAAAATATAACAGATGCTCGATTTTACACATTTTTCTTTTAGAAAATGTTAACAGATATGCTCAGTTTTCTAGGATTTATACAAAGGCTCTTGACGTTAACAATAAAGAGTACATTATTCAGAGGATGAAAATACTACAACACAATGGACTGGTCCTTTGGCTTGTTGATAATTGAAAATAATACTAATGTAAATATATATTATATCTTAAATGTCTGAAACGTCATATCAGTTTACAATTAAGAGGATACAAACACTTTTCAATTGAAACATTCATCATTTTTATAAAAATTTGGTTTATTCAGACTTTTTCACATCACTGTATATAATTTATTTTCTAGCTTCAATCAATTGTAAAATATAAATTAACTTATTATTTATGTATATACATATTTACTATTTTATGGAGACTGAATAGATTGAACAAACAGGATTTAAAAGTGGGGAGAATATTCGAGAGATATGTAGGTAGAAATGAAAATTGAATAATGAATGATCTATGGAATAAAATCAATGTCAATGGGTCCTTGTACATAAATAGGAGACTGGAAATGGGTAATGTGAGAGTGAACAGAGGATTTGAATTGAAAGAGCTCGAAAATGTATGAGAGCCGTTCAATTTTAATGTTCAAAAAGCTCTGTTCTGATATATTACAGCTACAAGTTCAGTATTTGTCACAAAAGTTAGGTAATTTGATCAGTAAAAGAAAAAGTAAGTGATATATTTTTTGTTAAACCGATATCATAGAGGAGATTTAAGGAAAAGTAAGAAATTCTGCAGTTTTACCCCAGAAGGTGGTGCTTTCCACGCTTGGAGAATTGGAAAACTTGCATTTTGAAGAATTGGGTGAACCCAGATATTCTCAGAAAGACATAAGTATCCTAATTTTTGTACCATTCTAGAATTTTTCAGGACAATTTGACTCAAACCTCTTACTTTTTTATTGCAAAGGATCTTCAGTCATGGGGATACCTTGTCTTATATATGTTTACCTCATACAAGTTCAATATGTTTTTCTCAGAATTTGGTTTAAAAAGTAATAATGATTGTAACATCTGATTAAAATTTTAAGTGCCGTTCAATGTTCTATTCAGTTGACATTCATTAGATTATTGGCAGTTAAAAACACATTTATGTTTATTACCTTTTGTACAATTATTTTCAAATGAAAAAAAATAATTTAAGATTACAACCGTGAACACATTAAGTGGTGTTATATTGAACAAAAGAGATTTATAATGATGAAAGAAAATTGACAGGATTTACAATCAAAAATTTTTTTTTATTAGATTAGCCGTTTCGACCCAAACATTGGGTAAACTAATAAAAAAAAAAAAAAAATTGACTGTCAATCCTAATAATTGATCAGTTGACTATTACCCATCTCTATCATGATTACTTATGGTTAGTTTTACAAATAAAAAAAAAGCATTATTGGGAGTCGGTCACAAACAATATTTCCTTGACAAAATTGTTGCTGGGGTGATTATGTTATAAACAGTAGGGATGTTGTATAAACATGTTTCAATGGCATCCATTTTATTACCAGATTGAAAATTTAGTTGCACCTTATTTGCACTTGCCCCAACCTCAACTCTTAATTTGTTTAAAATTCACATTAAACAGTCTTCATGGGACGGAAAGCATAATTGAATAAATGGCTTAAAAAAAGTTGTGAGTTTCTCGAAAATTGTTCACATAGCAGCAAGGCTAACTGCAGATCTTTGCTGTGTTGTCCATCGCTATCATAATACGCTGGGGCAACGGCGGGCTAGTCCTTTGAGATTCAAACCCAAATCCAAAAGTATTTTGAAAAACAGCTTCTAAATGTCCATGTACTTCAAAAATAAAAAGATATCAACAACCATTGATACCACTTCACCAGGTTAGAACTGATTTCTTTTAAAACACATAATCCATAGAACGCAGCTCAAACCAGAATAAGGTGAACAATCTCACAATTTTTAAAAGGCAGCTAAATTCTTTCTTAAACTATCCATGGCTGATAAAACCCGACATCTACTTGCTTTCAAGCGAAGAAAATCATCCCCTTTTCGTTACTTCATCAAAAAAATAAAAATTTTATCAAATCATTTATGAGTTCGTTCAACAGACATCAAATCAGTGATGAGTTTGGACAACATATAGGAATATCAAAATCAAGTAACTTTGTTTACCTCCTAATGGCTATTTAAAATGGAATTTTAGTTTTTTATTCTAAATAGTAGTTTGTCTTAACTCTAATAATTTTTACCGAACTAAATTTAATTAAGTTGATCATAGCGGTTACCACTAGTAAAATCTTAAGACTCCCAACCTATTCTTTTTAAATGAACATTATAATTTATACAATCATTTAACAATGAAAACTGCCAAAATTTGATCAATATGTTGATTCACTAAACAGTATACAACATAAAATCAAGTTTCTGAACATTTTATGAGGGAAATAGAGAATCTTTTTTAAAAAGAAATATATATTGCTAATAAAAAAATTAAATATACAATCACAATCAGTCATTATTATAATTTTGTTTTAGATAAATATAAATCAATGTTTTCTTTTCTTTGAATTGATCTCGACAGGTTTCGAGACCTCAGCTGCAGCAACTTGAGGAAATTCATCAATAGGGAGAGAAAACTCTTCCTCTGAGAAGTCATCATCTGGAAATATTTCATCGGCTGCTTTCAAGTCATACCAAGTGCTGATTTTCTCTTTAACAACTCTCAAGGGAACATTTATACCCATCGTTTCCTTAAATTTTTCCCAAATTATAAGCATCAAAAAATGGTAAGAAACACCGATAGGTTTCAATCCATACATTGCATGCAACAGGCGAAGCTCTGCATAAGGAGTCCATTCGAATTCTTTCATTTCAGGCTCCTTTTCTTTTTCTTTATCTGGATTTTTTCCTTTTTTATCCACCATTCTTTAAAACATATTTTTGTTTCAGAACTGGATACTAATTTCTTCTGAAAAAGAGAGTATAAATTAAATTTATGTAACTTAATATATCTCATAAAGTCAATTTTAGAAATGGAACTAATGAAAGAATAATAAAGGAAGTAAAATCAGGGGTACTAATGAAATAAACATGTTTCAAAAATTAAAATACATAATCATACCCAATGCTCAACAAACATACTCAATCACTCCTTATGACTATATAATTTAAATAAATGCATTAATTAAACAAATTATAATTTAAAGATTCAGCTTCCTAAGAAATTTTATCTTTAGAGAAATAACTAAGAACATTTCATAGTTTCTTTTAACATAGATATCACTAAATAAAAATGGGAACAAGTTCATAATAAATAAACAGCCATTCTGCAGGCGTTGCATTTCCGACATTACCACAATAATGCACCTGTAATTTTTGTTTTGAATATATTGGTAATACAGATTATTTCATCTTAAGTAGATGCAGAGACAAGAAAGATCAGACTTTAATATCTTCCATCAACTCGTTTAAAAAAAATATATTAAACACCATATAAAATATCAATAGTGATTAACTGAAAAGTGAAAAATACTTTTGGAAAGTAATATTTTTAATTACTATAAAACAAACTACATTTACTTCACTTATATGAGACCATAATGAAACAAAAAACAATTTAATAATGTACACGAGTTTTTTTCACAATATTCACTTTAATGCTAAATATGAATAACTCATTTACTATTATAATGTGGTACATTAAAATAAAAAAGACAAGATGAAATAACCAACTCACATCTTCTGGACAACAGATCCTCACCTAACTTATGAAGCAAGTGACTGATCTACAACGTTGGTAATTATTGTAAACTCACCTAGCTATGTTTCACTATACTATAATGACTTAAACCTTCGAACAGTAAAATTCTACATCCACGACAAATACATTTCTTTCAATACAAAATCACTTCAGTTTAATTGCTCTTTCAATTTCATCGTTTCTGTTACCTGCTTGATGCAGAATAAAAAGTAAATGGTCAAGAGAGATACTCCTTCAACAATAACTAACTTAAAGTCTAAGAAATTTGCACATAATAATCAGTACAACGAATTTTTTAAATGCTCTTTCATGCAAGTGGAAACTATGCAAATTTTTAAATAAATAAAGCAATATAAAAGAAAAACCCAACACTAAAACTCGTAGTCGACTTTTCACACTCAATATATTTCTTCAGATAAATATACAAAGGAGTTGAAGTAATAAACAATAGAATAATTTTCATATAAATCCATTCCAAAACAATTCAATGCAACATAAGTGATTACATAATTATATATTCCAAAACATTGTTAAAAGAAATAAAAACTCTAATGTAAACTAAATAACTGACAAATAAAGAATAACTTTTTCATTCAATCTTTAAGTTAATTCGATCCATAAATTAAAATAAACTAACTGACCTAATAGTTTTAATCAGTAATCAAAAGGGGGAAAAAATTAAATGAATAAAAAATACAATTTAAATGCAACATTAACCATAATCACAATATTTGAAATCGCAAGAACGCTTGCAGCTATTAGCGCCTTCAAAACAGTTCAATGACACAAAACACAAAACAGGAACACAACGAGGCAGGACTCACACTAACGAAACTAGTTCAAAGAAAAACATAATGGCGTCATATACAACTACCCACTTCATAGAACTTGAATGGAACAGCACATGCAAAGAATACATAGATTGTTAATTGGGAGCTACATTAACTATCTTTATTTTTTCAACAAATTTTAAACTAGTATTTGACAACATATCAAACCTGAAGATATTTAGAAGAAGTAATAAAAATTCATACAAATTCACGGAGATAAAATTCGGTGAGATTAATCTTCAGATTGGAGAATGATTATAAAAAATAGATTGTATCTTCGTCTTAATTTAAAACTTGTGATATCGGAAACAAATTTCAAAATAATATCAAATTAATGTTTCGTAATTATTTAGATAAGGACCGCATTTTTTAGTGTAGTTCATAATCATATCGGTCAAACTTGCTGTTTTCGGAGTTTCATGAAAAAGTGTTACCGAAGTGATTGAGAACCACGCGAAACCCGTATGGTCCTAATCTATATGATTACCTAATGTTTGTTAGGTCATTGTTTATAAGGATTCTAAGCACCAAGTTACATGAAGGTAAAACACGAAATAATTTATCATCTTACTAATATCCTAGATGTTGAGCATCAAATACAGATATCCCTGTTTTGAATGATAGTGCAGTTATATAAGTTTGTATGTAGGATCTTATGAGTTTCAGTCAATGAAACTGTGACGGTGCAGTGCCGAGTCTTAAGTTACAAGCGAGATATATTCCTTTCACCGATTAGCTGACTACATATTATTCGAGTACGTAAAACCCGACAATTAGAGGCAATATACAGTGTGGCCGATAGCGAATCTAGGAGGACAAATACTAGAAGCCATAGTTATCCCGATGAAATGTTTTCTTCTCAACCACGCTAATCTGCCATTATTAAAATATTCATTAAATGATTTGTAAACAATATCTTATCTAAAACCAATATTTATTTCTATTTCATGAAAATTCATTATAATAATGTAATTATTTCATTGCTGTAATGAAATATAGCTTAGACAAACCAGAACACTGTCACTTGATGCTCTACCTTTTTCAGGTATTAGCTTAATAGAATACTTAATTTTTCTCTCAAAAGATTAACTCCTTGTCCCTAAATCAAATTTTTAATTTAAACGCTCAATCAAGTACATTATTTCTTCTTAATCTAGTATTAAAACAATAATTTCCTGTCCCTAAGGCCTCAGTTAATTCTTATGCCAAAACAATACTTTTCCGACTAAAAATATCTATTTTCAGAAAAAGATACTCGAGGGTGCGGTCAATCTATAAATTCACCGCATCCCCGACTAACTCCTGAAATTAGAATCTGCCGTCAACCATCTCCATACCGTTGGTAAAAATATCTATCGTTGCTTTTACATGAGCAGGTACGGACGATTTAGTTTCACGTATTTGCTCATTTAACAAGTTGCGAGACACAAGGAACCAAAATTTAAGTTGCTCACCGATGTGCGAAAGTGTTATTGACTAAAACTTGGAATCAAGCAGTTTTCTGTTTAGGGATGCTGATTTCTTAGAATTTCAGTATCTCAAATTACCAAATATTGAAAAAAAAAAAAAAAAAATGGTATCGGTAAGTACCTTCATTATTGCACTATACCGTGAAATGATAAAAAAAAAAAAAAAAAAAATTTAAAATAACTACACCATCCTTATACTTTTCATTAGTAAGAGACAGAACGAACTAATTTATCTTCTAAATGTAAAAAAGTTGAAAAATCACAAATTGTTTATTTAAGCACCATATTGTCTTCGGATTATTCACGCCTCTCTTTGTTTATTTACGTCCTACCTAGTGGTACAATCACCACCATAATTCCACAAACTGTAATTCAAAACTTCATTATTTGGACTTTACTGCAGCTAGAATCACTATCGGCCACACTGTGCGGTGGTTTCCAGTCGGTCAGATGTAATAATGTTATTCTGTATTTTATAATATTTTCAGTAAATACAATTTTTTAAAAATATATTATTATATCAGAATATTTAACTAATTTAGCCAAACTTCGAGATCACCGACTTATACAACTCCAAGTTATCTGCTTTATTTATCCTCCACCTCCATGTCACTACTTTAAACAATTTAAGTTTATGTTTAATGAAAAACTAATTGAATATATTTTAGGGGATTAAAAATTTAATAAGCATTACTCTTACTGTATGTACTACATTAACTCTTGAGTCAATATAGTACATAAAGCAAGAATCAATTTATGGAGGGCTTATCAAGCTGACAGAATGACAGAAAGAAGACTTTTATTATATTTAGAAATTAGCTTTATGTACATTGGCTTTCGGATTAATACGAGAAGGCACATGTTTGAATAGGCATTGAGGTATGTGTTGTTATAAAGGTCATACAATGGAAAGGATTTATAATTAGCAAAATTAATATCGTGCGCGATAAGGCTGACGTAATAATTGACATATCTATTTGCTGACCAAGAAGGCGTTGCTATCCACTGATAAAGAATAGTATGCCGAACTCACTAATCTTGGTAAGTGACAATAATTTATTAATTCCTTAGGTTTTAACCTGTTAAGTAGTTCCATGTATAGGAGGTAGGAGAGGGGATGGGGATTTTGGCTAAGCCCATGAAATTTCTTTATTATTGTTCCAGTAATAGAGAGGTAAATACTAAAAGAAGAAATCGACGATCGATATATAAGTATACAAACAGGATGTCCCATATGAACGTTCATGAAAATCATTTTCAGAAATCAGTAGGTTTCTTTATTTTAAAAGTAAATATTAGGAAAATTTAAGTAATAGAAGTGAATCAAAAACATTTGGTTGGTCACTTATAAATAGAAATAAATTTAAAAATATAATATAATAATAATAAAAAGTTTAATTTTCGCGTTGGATATCTGGATATGTATATGAATTTATGATTATAAGAAATTAAGCTGATTAAACAAGGAAATTTTTCTAAAAGTGGGGTGTCTGTAATATAGTTGGAGGGTGATTAAAATAATGCTAAATAATTAATGATTTTTCTAAAAACAGTACTTATCTAATTTTATCCGCTCAATAGTCCTTTTAAAATTGTTATCACAGTGACAAATACACTTTCACTTGAAGTAAATATTGTCTTGTTTACTGTGATGCAATTGTCAATTACTTTAATTAAATATTTATTTAGTTATTGCTTCGTATTAAACAAAATCGGGACTTACTTAAAAATACTTATGTAGTGATTGTAAAAAATAATACTGTGAACTAATGCAGTAAAATGCAAAATATCTTTACATTATTAGATAAACATACATTTACTTTCTCGAATATTTTGATGAAATAGTTAAACTTTTTCAGGAGGAACACTCAAAATGGCTTCTCCAGATAAACTATTGCTTGTGTTTGTTAGCTGGGTTCTGTGTCACACCAAAACATCGGTGAGTTGCCATTAGTTGCCGAAACAGACAATTACATAGTCAGTACACTCAATGATGTTATTGATTGGATATCATTTTTTATCCTATAACTTATTTAGAAACAAATTTACCATTTCTCCATTGACTGCTTTAGCGACATGCTGTATCGTATGCGAAAAAAGTCAATGAGTCTATAGAATTTCTGAAATATTGAAAAAATATCATTGGTATTTAAATATTTCTCGATTGACATTACAATTAACTTTCCAGAGGTCTACCGATTTTATCATCAACTCGATTAACATTACCATTTACTTTCCAGATTGCTGCCGATGTTATCATCAACTCGATTAACATTACCATTTACTTTCCAGATTGCTGCCGATGTTATCATCAACTCGATTAACATTACCATTTACTTTCCAGATTGCTGTCGATGTTACCATCAGCTCGATTAACATTACAATTTACTTTCCAGATTGCTGTCGATGTTATCATCAGCTCGATTAATATTACCATTTACTTTCCAGATCGCTGTCGATGTTACCATCAGCTCGATTAACATTACAATTTACTTTCCAGATTGCTGCCGATGTTATCATCAACTCGATTAACATTACCATTTACTTTCCAGATTGCTGCCGATGTTATCATCAACTCGATTAACATTACCATTTACTTTCCAGATTGCTGTCGATGTTACCATCAGCTCGATTAACATTACAATTTACTTTCCAGATTGCTGCCGATGTTATCATCAGCTCGATTAACATTACCATTTACTTTCCAGATTGCTGCCGATGTTATCATCAACTCGATTAACATTACCATTTACTTTCCAGATTGTTGCCGATGTTATCATCAACACTACAAATGGGATGATTTACATGGATTCATTTGTGGCTCACGAACAGTTTTATTCAAGCTTAGAAGAGCTCACAAGAAACAAAGTAAAATCTGCTATTGAAGACATTCTAGCTCATTCCAAATTAGATATCACTCAGCTGGCCCCTAACATCGATGTGACGGAATACACAATGTTACAAATCCTCCATTCTTTGGCCATCGATGATCTTCTATTCTTCAATCAATTGGTGGAGTCAATGAAATATGGATCAAGCAATGGACAACAAGAACTGAATTTTCGTGTCGGAGCTTTAAGCAATTTGGTGAAATCAAACATTGCTTATTCTCCTTGCGACATGTACAAAGTAGCAAAATCTTTGATACACTTAGAAAGAGAGATACTTAACAATATTCCTAAATCGGTAGAGGAAGGAGTAATGTCGATCATGAATAAATCTGAAATTTTTACAGAAGCTTCCAGAAGGGGAGACATCGACGTCATGAAATGGCTCCTATTATCTGACAATTATTTTGATTTGACTACAGCTTTAGATACTGCATGTCTTCAAAAACGAATAGACATTGTCAGATTGCTTATCGAAAGTGATCTATCAAATAGTATCAAAATTATGAATGTTAGCAGCTGTAGCAAGGAAATTCTTTTACACTCAGCAATTTTAACACAATCTCGCCCTTTTCTTTCGCTCCTGA